AATTCCCTGTCTCTTCCATTTTAGCTAATAATTTGACATAAGTATCAAATACTTTGCTTACATCTAGAGATTAGTTCCACTGCATTGCCCTTATCTAAGAAGGATATTAGTTTGTGATTCTAACAACCCAGTGAATGTGGTCATTCTGGGAATTGCATGTATGGGAATCATTTAAGGTGGAGGTTATGGGTTGTGTTTGCTTGTTTTCTGTCTTTGAAAAGACACTAGAAATTCTGGGTGTTCGGTGGCTGTAAAATACTAAATATAAATATGAATCTTAAAATGCTATTAGAGATGATCTGAGATGACATTCAGATTTGGATTCGGTTGTAGGGTAGTGTTCCATTCCAAGCCAGTGTAGGCTGTTTGAAAGGTTTTGTGTTGAAAGCTTTTCCTGCATTTTCAGCATTTGCTTTTTTGTAACTAATGTCCTTGAAAGAAAATATTTGGTTAGATCTCTGGTGCATTCCTGCTTGTAACAGAATCGAAGTTCAGGGCACTTAAACCAGTGGTTCTCAACGTTTTTTGTACCCAGATCCATTTGTAAACATCGATGGCCAGTGCCCCTCGCTCCCAGGCCCCAGCCCTCCAGTGTGTGGGGCATGGGGAGCTCCAAACTGCCCCTTGCAAGCTGGAACTCTGACAGCTTGCAAGGGAAAAGCCACTGTTTCCCCTACATTTTGCTCCTTTAGAGGAGAAGCCATTTTTAAAGTTTGTTGATTCATTTTAAAGTTCGTTTGTAACCCTTTCACATGTTCTTCCAACCTACTTTTGGGTTGCGACCCCCAGCTTGAGAAATGCTGACTTACACCACCCGCTGTAATTCTGCTTGAATAAATTTTGAATGTTTAGTGCCTTCCCTCTCCCCCACCTCACTTTTTCCCACTGGCATCTCATGAACAGTTTACAGACTTTCTGTGGTGTACAAGTACGTTGGATATGCAGCTCTATCTTAATTTTGTTGTAGGGAGAAAGCTACAAAAACTGTCAGATGCTTTCTCATAGCCTCTGATGAAGTAGATTGGTGCCTACAAAAGCTCATGCCTCTGAACCAGTTAGTCTGTAGTCTGCCACCATGCCTTGACTTCAGACTTACATGACTAACCATCTCTGATATCAACAGAGCAACATCAGGAATGAACCAGCAATAATGTCTTCTGTATTAATTCTATAACATTGTTGAAGTTGTGCACCTCGCCCTTCCAAGTACCTGTGAAAGTTCATGCCTCTCTGACTTAGTTAGTTGCTAAGGTTCCACCCTGCTCCTTCCTACCTTTTGTCTGTTGATACCTGCTGGATTCAGACCAGGAATAAATTTGGCTTGTCCCAGGTCTTGGAACGTTGGAATAAATAAGGTAGCCTGTGAGAAGTGAGCAAAGATGCGAGCTTTTTGCCTGCAGCACATCTGAGCTTTGCTTATATTGTTTGATAGACAGACCATCTAGGTGTTGTTACACTTAGGTAAATTGCCAAAGAGTTCCTATCCTCTCTATGGTGCTTAAAAAGTCTGCTTTTTACTTTTGTGTTTATAAAAGTTAATATTTTTCCCTTATAACTTATAATTGTTGGGGGGTTTTTAAACACCTGCGCAATCTGATAGTTCATCACACACCTTACAGTTCTATTCTTTTACCCAAATCCTGTGCAGCTTTAAGGAGCTGTTTGAGACTCAACTTGTGTTGGTCACATCGCTCAGTTCCATTCAGGGAGCAGGGGCTTTGAGACCTGACACAGCTATGCTGCACAAAGAGTTTTTATAACATTGGGAAAAAAACAGCAGTTGATGCATTTACAGTTTCTGCTTAGAAGCTAACAAAGTGTAAAATTGATGAGCTGTAATTACACCAAGTTCCGCAACCCATTGTTTCCATCCTTTCTCTCTGTGCCCCCAAATCATCTTTTTTTTCCTTACAAATTGTGAGGGGGGGTTTTCTATTATTTTGGATTTTTGATTCATTTGGACCACAGGCTTTAAAAGAAATAATCAGTTGTGCATTGTGTCTAGACTGTTCAGTAGTTAGGCAGTAAATCATTGATGAACTGAACAGAATTACTTAAAGGAGATGAACAAGAAAATGACAAGTTCTTGGTGCCAGGAACACAACTTTTATGGTGCACTAGCGGGTGTCCTGTGCAAACTCATTGACTATGTCCACCTTATAAATCATGCCGCCTTTGCTATTCCTATTAAATTAAGCCATTTAGCCGGAATAGGGACTCCTGAACATTTTAATGAGACTCTTGAAAATCAGACTGGGGGAGGGGGTCACAAACTGAAAGTCTTTTGAAGTTCTGCAGCAAGTTACTTTAATCAGAGCCCCTCAGTATCTGGGAAAGCATGGAGATGAAAAAAAGGTCCTCTACTGGGAAAGTATGTTTTTTTTTCTTTGTTCATAATCGGTAATTACACCCCCATAATGGCTCCTCTGGTGCAGATGTAGAAGTAATAGACGACGAAGAAGAAATTAGTTAGGCATACAGTAATCGCAGCAGTGGCTAGCTCAGCTGTACAATAGCACAAGAACTAATGCAGTTGCTCCTGGAAGCAATTTATTCATAGCAACAAGGCTCACAGCTCCTTGTATGTTTTTCCATTAAGTCATTAAAATGTATAATGCTCCATTTTTAACCCTTGTCTGTGCTGAGTGAAGAAATTCCTTCACAGCAACAAAATGAAATTCTGACTACCCATCTGTAGGAACGGGATTGCATGGAAATCCAAAAGAATTCTAGCATACTCAGTGCTGTTCCAGCTGTGGTGCAGTGGATTGAGCTGTTTTATATCTTCCACCTATTTAGGGACTGAGCTGTATCTTGATTTAGCCACTGCAAATCAATATTCAATTCATGGATGTCAGTGGCATGAAATTAAATATGTTAATATTAGACCCTTAGGTGCTTTTGTAATAATTATTTGTGTGTGATCCATGCCTGCGAAAATGTTGTTTGGCCCTTTGAAGGGAGTGGAATTTGCTTGTATATTTTGTTGAATTTAGAAAATGTCATCTGTCTTTTGGAAAGACTTGGTTCTTGACACACATAAAAGATACAGAAATTGTGTGTTGTTTGAGGTTGTGTAGGTGTGCTTTGTTTTTGTCTATTACTAGCGATAATACTGTGGTGTTCTGCATCTCATGAGTTTACTTTGGAGACATTCTCTTACCGTATACAGGCTCATGAACCTTTGTCTAAGACCACATCGTTCTCATCAGTGAGCTGTGGGGCTCTCTTGCATGTCCTTGCAATTTGATCAATTGCAGTGGTTGTTGTGTGTGTAGAGTGCAGAATGCAGAGAAGTGAGTACTGTCCATGAGAGAAGTTTGCCTGAAGTGCCTTAAAGATGCAGTAAATACCCAGTCCCAAATTCTGTTAACTGCTTTGTGCTGAAAGGGCAGTTTTTCTAACCATGTATATGGCATTTTTGGCACTTGTACACTGTTTACAATTCTGTTTCTAGTGTAGTGTGGATATATAAGTTTCCACACAGCTACTTCTCAGTAGGCTAAGCATCGGCTGGGCCGGTACTCGGGTACAGGGATAAACACATATATCAAGTGTGCATGCTTCTCAGTCTGTGTGGCAAACCCTGTGACTAGCAGATGTTAGATAGAGGAGCAAGAGGACTCTTCTGGGTCAACACTCCAGTAGCTGAGTGGTTAGGACACTTGCCCAGAAAGTAGGAAAATTAGGTTCTAGGCCCCCCTTCACCTAGAAGGGGTTTGAACATGTCCCTCTGACTTCTTGCACAGTGCTCTAACCTTTTGTGCCACAGGTTAGGTATTATTCAGTCCCTTTTTTGTTTTTTTTTCTGGGACTTACAATCAGGTATGTGGCTAGTGTGCAGGCTACTGAGCATGTACAGTAGCCTTGTATAAGCTTGTGTGTCCACATAAGAATTGCAAATTGTATGTAAGTGTCAAAAATGCCTCTTACACAGCTGGAAAAGTGCCGTTGAGGTTCATAAAGGGAAATAGAATTCTGACCCTGGTCATTGGTGAGCCATTTAGGCACTGGAGTGAATACACTCCAGCTGAGCAATTATTTCCAAAAATATTCTCCCCTTTAAATGCTTCTAATCTGAGATCTTTGTAGAAGCACATATTCTGAAGCACCAGGGTAGGAAAATAGTGTCAAATAGACTGATCTGAGTAACACAAGACACCCTCTACCCCAGGGCTAGTGCAGTGCAGGTTTATTTGGAATGTTTGATATAACATCACAAAGATGCAGCTGTTGGTGTTGGTGGCCAAGGCTTCCTTAGCATTAGGGTTTTGACTTTGAAGTCTGCTCCTTGCAGAAGTGTTATTAAGTGCAATCTTGATTACTTTTAGAGAGATCTGCAAGATATCTCTTCCCATGTTTTCTCAGCTGATTGAATCTTGGTTTCTATTAGATGGTTTTTCTTTGCAAGACGTTTATAGTGAGGGACATCCAGTAAATGAGTCTTATTAATTACATTTTTAAAATAGCAAAGTAATGTAGTTGCTATAAAATATAAGCGCACACAATATAGTTTCTTTACACAGATAGACCTTTTTGAAATTAATGAAATCTTTATGAATCTTCATTTCTGAACCACTGGTGTTTAATTGAATTGCACGTGGTAGTGATTTTGATATATGTATGATATATGTATTTTGATATATATTTCTCGTAGTGTGCTCCTATGAGAAAATCCTTGTTCCCAGTCCTGCAGGCACTTGTGTTTATGCTTAATCTTTGCTTCCATGAGCTGCTTTATTGAATGAGGTTAAATACTTGCATAAACCTTCATAGGATTGGGGCTTATGTATATATATGAAAATAACAAACACTGCATTTTTTGGAGTTGGCTTACTGAGAGACAATTTTTGCTGCACATGCGCTGTATAATGTATACTAGTAACTGAATAAGTGTGTGGCAAATTAACAAGGGGGTGTTATTCCCATGAAAGTATTTACTGAATGATTATTGCAGTGACTGACCTTATATTTATCTTATTTTGAATTGAAAACAGATACCCAAGGAAGTGGCTGACATTTTTAATGCCCCCAGTGATGATGAAGATTTTCTTGGGTTTGGACATGATGATCCTAGGCAAATTATGTCATCGGAGGACGGCTGTAATAGTTTTGATTCATTGGGGTCTGGAAAAAAGGTAGGAACATTTTATTGTGATCCTAGGGTATTGGTTTGGAACAGTATAGTTTCTTAGAATCTGTTTTGGCACAAAATTGATCTTAACTCCTGGCAGAAACCAAAATCTATAATCCTGGGAACAAACAAACTTAAACCGATTTTCACCCCTAGTCACTTTTAATGAACTTTGAAAAAATGTCTTGCATAATGAAATCCATTTTTCTTTTTGCGTCAGGGAAGAACCTAAAGTGAGTTTAGAACTTACTCTGTTTAACTCTCTCACATGGCCACGTATCTTATAAGCATAAGCTATCACTGAGTGGCTATTTCCACTCGTACATGCTAACAGGAGTCAGTTGGATCTCTGCAGTATTGAAGTGCGATTCTGTTGGAGCTTTGCACCTTCCGCTGCTATTTCAGTACCACAGTCCTAACTGTTATTTTAGTTACTTTGCTCTGTAAAAACTACCAGGTCTAACAGCAAGAACCATTCAGAGACCATCATGAAAATGATTCAGCAGCCAAATAGTCAGTCAACACAGTGGATTGATTTATAATTGATATTGTTAATTCTTTGAATTGGCAGTTTAGTAGTGCCCAGAAGTGTGGGATACCAGGAGAGGAAGGGAATAGGACAGGGTGCTGAAAGGAGAGTTCAGAACAAGTATAAACAACTGGGTTATATGAGAGTGAGGCTTACAGGGCTGAGAGGCAATTAGTTTAAATGTAATTTTGTAAGGATCATCAGTTTAATAGAGGAATTCAAGACTGGGCTAGCACAGTGAAAGAGGAAAATGACTTTTGTGCCAATGGTTTTAAGACTATATTTGGGAGGTTGGAGGAGGAGAGCTGGTTATAGAAAACATAAAGAAATGACTAATTCTTGGACAAGAGGCCTTAATAGCAAGCCTGGCTAAAAAGGAGTAGATATTATTTTTTGTTTCTAAGCACAGAACTTAGAAACCAGATGCTGAGGACAAAGAGAGAGTAAGTAGTATCAAATACAAGGGTAGAGATACTGGAGTTTTCAGTGATGATGGGAAAAAGGACCGTAGACCAGTATGTGGAAGAAAAGATGTCTGTTGGGTTTTTTTTGTTTGGTTTTTATTTTTTTTGGGAGGCTGATCTGGAGACAGCTGATGTGAGACATTTCTAGAGGGCGGGGAGGAAATGAGAAGGTAGTTTTGTGGGAATTAACTTAATGATGTCGATGAAACTTGGTAAGTAAATGAATTCATGTAGAGAGAGAGAGAGAGAGTGTGTGTGTATATGAGAGAAGGGGGGGAGCAGGTGTAGGATATGGTCCTGAGTTGCTAGCAGAGCTCCAAGGGAAGAATATGAAATGAATGAACATCAGGGATGTGGCAACATGTAGGGGGATACACAGGGGTGCACGTGCACCCCCTGACAGCTAGCATTCCCTGTTTGGGGGGAGGGGAGCACTGATGTCTCCCCTGAGAGCACTGGCCAGGGAGTGGAGGTTCCAGGAGAAGTGATTCCTCACGTTCCCCCCACAGCTGATCATGCCAACCTGTGAGTGCCAGCAAGTCAGTGCGATCAGCTGTGGGGCTGCCGCCGCGCCCCGCCACCCCGCACCGC